TCGAAGAGGACTGCTCCTTGCCCTTACCCTTGGCGGGACGGCTCCTCCGCCTACCCCTGCCCGAGCGGCGAAGCCAGCCAGCAGACTCGGGTGTAGGCTGCACCCTGGAGGAGGAAGCCGGAACGGGAGCGCGGGGGCGAGAAGCCCGCGGCTGCTCCAACAAGGCCTTGGAGTCCTTGAAGGAGGTAGCTGCAGCGGCAGCCTCCCGGATGACCTGCTGGGCCCCAGGAAACAACGTCGCTCCCAGACGGTAGGGGAGGGCCAGCAAGGTCTGCTGTGTAGCCGCCGAGTACCGAGACGTCGACAGCCACAGCTTGCGCATCCCCATGACTGCGCACATCACCGCCGACGCGGCTGACCGCAAGGAAAGTTGACGGAGGAGAACAACATGCTGAGACACGTCAGCTCTGGATAGGTAGGCCTCGTGGACCACCACCCGCACCTGCTGCATAGCGTTCCGGTAAACCTCCTCGTAGGTCCGGTAAGCATGCCGCAGGGGGGCGCCCGCGAAGGCAAAAGGTGGCGTCAAACGCCCTTGCCTGGCAGCCGGAGCTGCATCGGAGGAAGCCGAGCCTCCCCCCAGGGCGACCAAAGTGAACACACATTCGTCGACCACTGGCACGAAGAACAGGGAATCTTCCCCCAGCTGGTACCTCCTGACAAGCTCTGGCAAGTCAAAGCGGAGGCGTGACCCAGCCAAGAGGGGATCCACCACGTCCTGCACCAGGGACGGCAGAATGCGGAGCAGCGTCTGCGTGGGTTGCCTAGGGGCAAACGCCTCGCCTGGTAAGCGGAACTCAGTCGAATCCGAGCGGCTGGTAGGCACCGCGGCCTGGGGAATGTACTCGGCAATGCGTAGCCGTACTTCCCTCAGAGCCGTAGAGAAACGGAAGGCACCCTCCGGCTCCTCTACCTCCCCAATGTCCATGGACTCGGGCCCAAGCCCAAGTCTGAGGCTGGGTCTCCTCGCGAAGAGGAGCCGAACCCCGACTCGGTGGGCAGTCGCACACCAGACGCAGAGGGAAGGGAAGAACCGAAGCAGCGCCCTGCTTCAGTGCCCAAAACTGGTACCTCCGCTCTCATGGGGCGGGACGGCGCAGGGACCGGAACCTGCGCCAACGGACCCTGCGCCAACTCCGAGAGGGGGACTGGGAGCGAAACCTCCCCCTCCGGGGCAGCCGAGGCGTCCGGACCCGAAGCCAGAGGCAACAGATCAACAAACGCCTCCAGGCCGAGGGATCGAGCCGGGTTTGGCGATCCCGGCCCCAGACTCTCCGTTCCCGGCTCCGAGTGGGCGAGGAACTCCTGGCGGAGACCTCCAACCAACTCGTGAACCAGGGACTTCACCGAGTCCATGTGCTGCTGGAATAATTGCGTGATGAGAGACATGTCAAAACCGATAGGTGCAGTGGAAGGCGACTGACTGCGCGATCTACCCTTTCGTTTTTGCTTTTTAGCTTTAGACAGGGGGGACCTGGGTCAGTTCCCCTCCCACCTCTCGCATTTCCCGATAGAAGAGAAAGTCTGCAGCCCGCCTCTTCTGGGCTCGGGGGGAGAAGCCCATACAAATCTCACACGTGTCAGGGGTATGGCCGCCTTTTTCAAGGCACATGATACACTTATCATGACGGTCTGCACAGGGAATACTCTGCCCGCAGACAGTACAATCCGAAAACGCCTGAAAGCAAACACGCAAGCATGTAGCTAACAGCGGACCAGCAGCATAACATACATGTAGAAAACATTGAAAAATACGTGAAGGCGACCACGGGAAGAAAAAGTTGGTGAAAACGCAATATTACAACCATTGGGTAGGTTGAACTGGAACGGCTGGGGGTGGAAGACTCCAGTCGTTCCGAACCCGTCTTTCATCGTCTATAGCCTCTGGGTGCCCTGCCTCGTCCGGGTGGGCGACGAAAAGAATCCTTTCCTCCTTTGGAGGTCCCTATTACTTTTCTCTTGCTTTCTGGATGCCTGCAAATTTAGATTGGCCAGAGTAGCGTTGGGACGTCTGTCTGATGACACTGGCTAGTGTATCAATGGACTTGATCATCAAGACTTCCCTAGATTCCTTAGTGACTTCCTTGGCGACCTCGTCAATCTCCCCTGCAAAGATGGATGTTGTAGACCATGGAGCTCTGTACAGCGTCTTAGTGAAGCGTTCACTCCAGTTGCATGACGACAATAGTCCTTGTCTTCTAGCTAGCGTCAATGCTGCTGATATGGATGATAGATGCGCCGACATAAATTGGTGGCCCTTTTTCTGCGTTAGTAGGGCAGAATAAATCATCCGGTCTTCCTCTGCAGTTGAGTTCCTAAACTTGGCGATGAGCGTCTCATTAACTGCCCTGGATCTGTTAAGTCCGAAGAACATCCTTCTGGTCATAGTGTCTATCTGTGCCAGCTTTTTGTCATCAATCTTGTAAGATTTGGTCCGGGAGTCGTTGATGATTTTATAGATCTCATCTATTTCTTGTGCCTTCATAAAGGGGTCCATGTTGTGTAGTGAGAACTTCTTTGCGTTGAACTGTGGGATATTAGGAGCCTGGAACTTCGTTGCCTTTCTAAAGGCTGCATCCAAATCCTCTAGTACTTCCGAGATCGGATCAATTGGAGGTAGAGTGATCGTGTCCACATCATCGTCCTTCATTAGGTACGTCAATGCTTCATTCTCTTCCTTAGAAGGTGATGCTAGGTCAAGTCCATTAGCCATCCAATATTTTATCTCTGAGTCCGAAAATATGATACCGCCATCGTCCTCTGTATCATGTCCACTGGTACAAGATCGTTGACCATCCTTTGTTGGGGATCTGCATGGCGATCTATGTGGGGATGAGTGTGTTGAACTACGTCTAGTTCTAAGAGGCGATCTGTATCGCGACCTGCGTGCAGGTGAGCGTCTTCTAGGCCAGGATTGCCTTCCTGGCAATGTATTCTTAAGTGGTGAATCCCGTGACGACCTGCGAGATGTTGTTGACGCCCTTGAAGATAATTTGGATGACCTTCGCGCAGGTGAGAGGTTTTGTTGAGGGTCTGAGTCCCGAGACGTCTCTCTAAACCTTCTACGTGGTGTAGGTTTCTTTCTCTGTGAAGTGGGTAGCCTGCGTGAAGGTTCTTCATTAGCCTCATCATCTGATGACGATCTATTTGGTTCTGAAGAGCGTGCCGTCCTGCGCGCAGGTTTGCTAACGTCATGTAGCGTAGATCTGCTCTTGGTCCTAGAGCTTGACTCTCTGGTAGGCCTCTCAGATGTATCATCAGTGTGGGGTCCTTCATGCAGCCCTGGATCCTCTCTGCGGTTGATGACTTGAGCATGAGAGCCACCTGGCTGTCCATCATGCGAGGTTCTTTCTTGTGCGAAGTGCTTCTCCATCATCTCCATCATTTGTTGAGAGAATTGCTGCATAAAGGCCCTGGGGTTGAATGTCTGCGACGACTGTAGAGATGTCGTATCTGAGATGGTAGCGATATGGTCCAGGGATCGCTGTGCCTCATGGATCTCTGCTGTCAGTGTAGAAGGTAACTCTGACTGCGTAGAGATGGCTGCTGACGGTACCGTTGCTGAGGCCTGCTTCCTTTTCTTATGCTGTATCTCTGGGATGATCAACAGGGGCTCATCATAAAGGCCTCTCTCTTCCATCGGGACGATCTCGGCCGAAAAGGTCCTCATACTCTGCGACGAACTCCCTGTAGAACTGGTTGAAGTCTTAGGGTTGTAAGACTTCTTCTGCTTTGAAGATGGCCTCTTTTTCTTCATATGGGTTGAGGAGTTGTCCGACGTAAAAGACCTTTTCTTGGATGTAATGGCGGACATCATCCCACGCCCATCTTCCGAGGACGCCTCCGGGCAGGTCACTGGATGGAAGTATGTCGTCTGACAATGATAGACAGCTCTTCAGGGACTCAGCCGGTTTAGCCATGACTTGCAAAAGTCGTCTGGATTTATCCTTAGTACGCCTAAGTACAGAGAAATATTAATTATTAAATTCAATTTGTGTTAATTGCTGACATAATTTACAGCGAGAGCTGGAAGTACATATTGTTGTGCAACTGGGGCACAATAAATGCGATCTGCAGCAGATAACCTAAACCTACAACGAAAACAGGTTTTCATGAAATGTAAACAAACTTAACAATCACGTAAAACCGTGAATAAACAGTCAAATTACGAATAAATTTCAAACCATATTGTAGAAGGATACTCCCTGAAACCTTATAAAGGTAACTTATAGGGAAATAACTAAGTTATCAAAGGATATAGTGCCGTGTTGGAGACACAGGTGCTCTCCCAACCGTCCACTAGGGCGAAGAAGGAGAGAGTGAAGTGTGGGAAGACGGGTGGCGCCGTTTTCCCGCCAAAACCCGAGGTAGACAACTCTTGGTGAGTAGTGATTTTACGTCTGCTTTTTTTAAGGGAACTTCAAAAAGGAGATACAAGTGTTCCACTAACGTTCGGGAAAGGAATAATACATGAATAATACATGAGTCAGGATAAGGAAAAATCTGACATGATCTGAAATATGGCAGCAACTGTACTTTCACCAGTACATCTAATTGTTTTATTTCTGTGAGATCGAATGTTTGTGTGAGTTGTCCTACTCATCTGAGCCCAACTTATCTTAATCCCTACATTACCAAGTGAAGAACCTAAAACTAGCACACACTCATTTGTGAAAATGTGTTAACTTTCAAGCATCTTTTATTTCATTTGGAATACTTCATACATTGAAAGTATCTGTCAAGCAGTGTACTTTTAATTTATTTAGTTATCAAAGTTGCAATGTCATTCCTACAGTGCAAGGGGATAATAAATACACAGGGCTATTGTTGAAGCAATGTAGAAAGAGATTCCCCATGAAGAGAGATTCAGAGTTTAAGTACCATGGGTAACATGTGTTTAGGGGTCAGGATCTGGGACGACATTAGTTACTGAGTTTAGAAGATAGATTGTTTACTCACATACAAAACAGGTTTCTCATGAAATATTAAGAGATGCTTACTCATTCCATCTTTCAGGAAGCTGACAATGTCCATGCTCTTGCGGGCCACCTTGAGGTTCACTGTGTCTATGTAGTGTTTCTTATCTGTAATGCTGGGCTTGGAATCTTCTGTCTCCATTGCAGCCATGGCCTCCACTTCCTCCACAAGACCGACATGGCTAGGAATCTCGGCCTGATGAAACAAAATCATCCACGGTCACTTAGATTCTGTTCACATTTAGTTAAAAACAAATCATACTTATGACTAACTCTAATCATACACTATTAAACATTATCAGGGATGAATCTAGGATTTCATACACACAATATTGTTCAAAATTGGGATTTTTCTAAAAGGATAACTAATTTCTCATCTTCTCGAGGCAAGGGGGTAACTGACTACAAAAATCCAGTTCTATGATTGCCGAAATATGCTAGACTATAGTGGCTGTTACCAGGTATGTCCTTTCTGGGTCCCTATTACTGAACAGATTCATCCTCTCATAGCAATTTACTTCAGCCAAAATGGTGGTGCCCAAATTAGATGATCGATCAATAATCAATCCCCGGTATTATAATAAATCAGGTTTTACCTTCTAAACTTCATCAGATCACTCAAGCACCTGATCAAAAACTAATCTATTGGTCAGTTCATAGTACACCTTCTTTACAATCCTGCAGTTACCCAAATCTGCTATGTTGTTCCAAAACCAGGGCTCGATTTAAGAGATGTTAACCTACTTGCACTAGGTGCAACCTAAGATAAAAACCTAATTGCACCAGCCAATTCCAGTTGCACTGCTTTTATTGCAATATGTAATGAAAGAAATATGCTGTTGAATTATTTAGATGTTTTATTCAGAAGTTTACCTACTAAAAAATTTACTTGCACCCTGTGCAAGTTAGACTAATAACTAGGTTGCACTTTGTAGTAATGGGTTACACCGGTGCAAGCAACAAAGCACTAAATCGAGCCCTGAAAACCAATTTTCTAAAGTGATTTTTACTGAACTTACTACGACATTCCTTCCTGTGTCACAATGGGTGGAAACTTGACTTATTGTAAGTCAACAAGTTTAGCTCCCTTGCCTCAGGAAGATGCTATTTGTTCAGGAGTATTTTGATGTTTCAATCAATACAAAACTGTCAAACTACACATAAAAGCCCCTTCTTGTTTATTGGTCCTGTTATATGTGAAATGACTCTGTGTAGCCTCTACAAACAGTACAAACAACATAAGTGATCATGGTTATTTCCATAATAACACGACATGACAGCTTAAAGTTGCTTTAGACTGTCAAATGTGAGGAACGGAGTAGGTTTGGATAATCCCTCATTACATATACAAGGTTTGCAGAGGTATCAGAGCTACAGATAACATTTTGGCTCATTGACATGATTGAGTTATGTACTCACTTGTGTTCATCTCAATTGGGTATCTTTATTTTCCTTTGAGTAACAAAATAAATTGTACTCACCTCAATCAAATTAAAATGGGTATTTTGCCATTTTCCATTAATTGTAAAATTGTATGTACGTAAATAAAGTGTTTGTTTGAACTTATGATATTAATGATTTCCTGCCCCGTTGTTTGGACCCCATGTTTCAACAAATAGTCACATGGTAATGTACTCCTTACACTTACAGCACTGTAAACTCAGTAATGATAGTTGTATAGGCATCACTGTCGTATGTATACCAGACACTGTGTAGGAGTATGTGCCCTTCAGTCACTGAACAAAGGGAGGTAACAACATTTGCTCAGCTATAGAAACCATGCAAGGATTGATTTTCAGATTTTAAGTACAGGAACTAATTCACTGGTATGCAAGCTAAGATTTGACATTTTTGTGTGTAGGCATGTAATTTGTAAGATCAAATTTATTGGGTATTTACAAAAATTCAAGTGTACTTGTACGCAACAGATTTATTTTGAATAGAGTTTTCAGCATATATATTTGCGTAATTTACACAGATACGCAGCTTATCTGAACCTCTGCCATTTTAATTGGTCATATTAATAAGTATAAAGAAGATCAACCAACTGTGCTTTGAACTTTCTGCTTTGTCATGATACATGAAAAGGAGTTTTTCAACTCTACTGGGACAGAACATAGACCTGTCATCGTCCAGAAACCCCACAGATCTGTGCTCTCTTGCTCTACTACTAAAGTTATCATTCACAATCCATTACCAGCCTCAATTTCGGACACTGATGGTGATATAGGATTTCCTTCATATTGACCTACATGGCATGACATTGGTTTAAAGTAATGCCACTAGTCAAAATGAGGATCAGCAAATAGGATGAGCAATGCATAGGGTAAATTTTAACTTGGGCCTTCATGCACATATAATCATTGGACATATAATGATTGGACAAACAAAGTGCCACACATTTCTGACAGGAGAACAGAGGCAAGTCCAAGGTTTTGAAAATGAGGTGTGAGAGAGTGTAGGTGTGCATGATGAGTGTGTTTATGTCTGAAGGAAATATCCAAGCATTTAATAGCTATGGTGTCAGAAAATTGGGTTGCAGCCTTCTGAAACCTATTCAAGTGGAGACAGTGAGTGACTGAGCTTGATTTTACAATACTTTTAACAATTTTTCAGCAATAACACTTCTGGGTAACACAGCCCTACCCTACCGTCGCTCTGCCATTGGGGAGTGTTTTACAATGTGACTTACCTTTGGAGTGTCTTCACCAGCAAAGCCAGCCCGTATAGAATAGGATCCTACATCAAACACCAAAGCTCCCACCTCATCTGAAACAAAACAGACAATCATCAAGGGCTTCATTGGTATTTAAAGAACCACTAAACTTTGTTTTTTGTTACTCTTTTAACCATTATATATGAAAGATTTGTGGTTAGTCTTATGCGGAACACCAAATTTATTCTTTAAAAACTTGTGGTTAATTAATACCGAGCGATTAAAAGTGGCCAAAAAGTCGCCTGCTTCCCTCTCGCCAGCCAACTAAACCACAGACAGGTTAACTCTGTAATGGGTTATGTTTGTGAGTGCGGTTTAGCGTTGTGGAAGCCTGAAACGATATCTTACTTGTGTTCAGATCGCTTCACGGAAGTTAAAGAATCAAAACTACTTACTAGTTGTAGTAAAATATGCATATGATTGATGACCATAAAGATTTTCTATGACACAACTTGTAACATAACGATTTCTTCCTCGAAGTGAGGTTGTGGTCGAAGTAACAATAATATTGTAAGTAGTATTATATTGACCCACCTGCTGCCACACGAGAAATTGTTATGATATCGCGGCTATGTCATGCAAAATCCTATTGGCCATCAATAAAATACATATTTTACTACCAGTAGAGAGTAGTTTTGATTTTAGACCGTGAAAACAAACCTAAATACCATTTATCCTCAGACTGGCGGATGTTCCGACAGGGCGCCGCCATTTTAAAAAAAAAAAATCTGTTAGAATTAATGAGATTATAGTTTGTTTTCACTGTTAGAAAATCAAGACTACTTTCTACTAGTTGTTAAATATGTATTGGAATCATAACCAAACGGATTTTGCATGACACAACTTATAACATAACGATTTCTTCCACGGAAGCCCGAGGTGGGTCGAAGTCACAATACTGCGCCGATAAATTTCTTGCTACATTCCCATGGTTAATGTCCACTCACCAGTATGTAGATACTAGTCAATGTATGCCTTTATATTTGGTCTTATAATCCTAATTAGTTTATTATCACACTTGTATGAATTTTGAAACTAAATAAAAAGCAGACGATCTGCTGATACTTATAGTGAATTTATAACAGAACTGTAATATCTAGACATTTTATAGTTTGCCAATGTGAATCATAATTCGCACACACACCCTAGTGCATGTTGTCTGTCTCATTACACTTCACGGGCTAAAACAATGATTCTGCTACACAAATGAATAAAACAAAATGCAAATATTAGAATTAAAACAGATTAAAGTTATAGGAACAATATCAGGCCATTACCTTGTTCGAGGAATGTATCCATCAATATCCACAAAACTGTTCCAAATGATGTGTCTTTTAACAGTTTAATATACCTAAAAAGTGATAAATCTTTTCAGGTATTGGTGTATAGTCTCATTGGTCACCCAAGATAGCACACCTGGCAACTAATTGCATAATGTCCGCCTTTCTTTAAAACAGTAATTTAGTTAGCCAATAATGGGCAATCAATCAATGTATTGCCGGTTAATCCTTTGAAAGAAGGACGTTGTTTTTACGCAGACACCGATACGACAGAGTGTATTCAGTATAGATTAGTAAATCTACATACATAAACACTACCTTTGACAATTCCGCTGTGTAAGATAAAAGTAATTAATCAATCAGCGTGTTATCGGTTAATCCTTTGATCGATGTTTATAATGTTGAATATTTACTCCAGACACAAGAAATGCCAAATGGGAACCTTTGTCGGGTAATCTAAGTGTGTTACCACTAATTATACCTGTTGTAAATTCATTAACTGACCATCAAGTGAATGATGACAAATAACATGTGTAGGTTTATACCACTCCAACACGGGTTACAACGAGGGAGTATTAATTGCTGTATTGCATGTGAAAACTTATGGGCCGCACACTGTTTTGAGAATACAAACAGATTTTTACATGACATGATTAAATATCGAGGTAAAACAACACAGAAATGGGATAAATTTGGATCAGTCATTATACAAATAGGGCCTAACGACACTAATCGATTTTGACAGAATCGTCTATGAAAACAAGTTGTAACTCTGAAACTAGGCAAAGCAGGAGACAAAATTAAATGACAGTAGATTGTGAGAACATATAACTTTCATTTTCCACAACAATTGTCACGATTTCAGGTTTATACAAGCCTGTAAACACGATAATTTACCACCTAAAATGTAGATGAATTCTGCACCGGCTCTCAAAGCTATTCCTCATATGACGTCACAGAGGCGCGCCGCTCTGATTGGTTGAAATTTCGTTCGCGGGTGAGAATTGTGCACTGTTGTCAAAAAGGTCGATTTAAGTCAATTAAAGGTCGAAATGAGTAGTTTTAATGACGGGGTTTCATTTATAACGATGCCAGTTAGTGATTTATGTATTTGTACCCCCTAGGGTTTATGTGACCTTTAATACATGTGGCACCCAAAAACATTTAATAGTGGTGTCAATGAGTCATATCGGATGTAACTTACAATTCTATCAGTCTATCAGCATGGACCATGGTACTAAATACGACCAAACCATCAAACATCAGGACGTCATCAATATTGAGTGCAACAAAAGAGAGGGGGTCATGTTGAATCTGAGTACTCATCCTCATCGCTGTAAAACCCTACTCAGGTGAGTACAAAACAGTAACCATGATCATGATGATCTATACAATACACATGGGCACTACCTGGTCATGCTTCTCATGAGTGGGCAATATCCATTCACATATTCAGGCCTGTAAACAATGGCAAACAAATCAGAGGAACTTGTTTTGTCAAATTGGCCAGTGCTGTACCTATGTCCATTGTTGCATACTGCCAAGTCTGGGTATATTTGTGTCATACAATACTGACGTAAAGAATACCCAGGAAATGAGAGAGTGAAAAGATGTTATGTCACATTACAGGGCTCGATTTAAGAGACATTAATCTACTTGCACCAGGTGCAACCTGAAATAAAAACCTAATTGCACCAGCCAAATTCCAGTTGCACTGCCTTTATTGCAATATGTAATGAAAGAAATATGCTAGTGAATTATTCAAACTTTAGAAGACAATGAGCTGACATAAGTATGCTTGTATTGTTAGATTTATTGTTGATATATTTCTCAAAAATTGACTTGCACCTGGTGCAAGTTAGACAAATAACTAGGTTGCACTTTGTAATACTGGGTTGCACCAGTGCAAGTAACAAAGCACTAAATTGAGCCCAGTATGGCAAGTGTTCAATTTATCGAACAAAGCTTACCATGCTTACTGTAGTACTAACTAACTCAGACTTCAAAACACAAATCATTCTGATCAGATCAAGCATCCCTTTGCAATCATTTGGGTTTGGTACCCCTTTCTGATCAAACATCCCTTTACAATCTATACGGATATAATTAGGTGTGAGGTGGGATGTGGGTCTTCTACCTCCAGTAAAGTGCACTACTCCCAATGTCTTCTTCACGTCAATCATTCACACTTTAAAAGTATTTTTCAGACTTGGAAATCCGGACCTATGTGTACAATTTGAAGACTTACAGAATACTTCATGTTTTTGTTGCTGGGACAGTGGCCATCCTTGGACTGGGCCCCTAATTTCGTGTGTGATACATGGAGAACATTATTTACAAAACCTCAAAGGACTCACAAACTAAATCAACCTTGTAAAACCCTGTACAAATCCAAGTTGAATCCATTTGGCGGCATTTTCAAAACGAAAATTACAAAACGTGAGATTGAGATTTGTAGTATGTAAGCTGAAATATTTCTGCAGGGATATAGAGGGTTATATATTGTTTAAATGCGAACTGAAATGTAATGATTGCCTTACCACATTGGTAAGTGCATGGTATTCACGACCTGTACTTTACTGATACCATTGTTTTTGTCTGAGGAAACACAGGCTGTTATCTGTCTCCGGCAATAGCTAACATTGTGGGCTCTCGTTCAGAGTGGATTCCTTCTCTACATATGAACTGGTGTAATATAAGTAATACAAAAATACGTACCTCCCCCGTACACTCCACCACTCATATCAAAGATCCGCTTCAACTTCTTTGAGGTAAATAATAATAAACTGTGTTCGCGTGTTGGGCTTTGAATAATAAACTTCCGGTAGACTAAATACGAGTTGTCCCCCTTGGACTGAGCACAATAGCCCTCAAACATGTCAGCGCCCACTCGGCCGAACTTATTGATGATTGTCAGCTCGGCAGTTGAAGGTAATCTGTGAGTTTATTTTGTTTTAATTGATAGAGCGAAGTCCTTTTTTTTCATTTTGACCAATCAGATGTTAGAAAGTCCCAATGTATCTGGCAATACTCATCAACTTGCGATGACAGCTAACCGGACACAGACCCAATGAAAAGGGGCGTGGCAAACCATTAACAATGTAGCACATGGCTGGGTTATCAGGTCAATATCTCAGATTGTTTCCTTTTTCTAAACAGACTAGGAGACCAGGAGGGTGGTTATCAAGAGTTATTACATCATATGGCCACCTGGATGCCGAGTTTTTGATTTTCTGTTGTTTTCATAAGATCTGAAAAGTGAAAGTTGTGCGAGAATTGCGATTGCTCAGCAATGAACCAACCTCAGACAGAATTTACGCAGAGACCTTTCAATGTTCTTTCTGATGGTGTAAGTGTAACTGGGAATTATATACCAGTTTCAATAAAAGTCTCTGCTACTTAAGTGTTGTCAAGATCTTGTTATGCTTTAACACCTTATTTTAATAATTTTTCCATCATTTCACTCTGATTAATAGTATCGATAATTAAACCCAATAATTTACTGCAATCATTGAAGACATTTCACTGAGCAGCAAGTGCATTTTAAGAATAAGTCTCATGTGTAGAAAGTACACTGTTATGTGTATAGATTACATAATGTGAAAATATGGACAACATGAAATCAAGCCCCTTTTTCAGAAATCTGTAGATGGCCTTGAATATCAGTGATGATATACAGATTTTGACCAAAAGATTCCATGTAAAGATCTATGGTTTTTCCCTTGTTTCAGGTGTGTCTGCCCAGTCGTTTGTCCAAGCATACAATTTGGCGTTTCCTACATTCACCATACAGTTGGCTTCTCCAAATGTAAGTTCCATCTGTAAGTGTTAATCTTTTAAGCGAATGAGAGAAAATTTGCAATACACATATTTCCCTTAATTTGTATGTTGTGCTGCAACAAGCAAAAAACTAATAATGCAGAGGTATCATGTCATGCAACAAGGTTACAATGCTATCGTGTCATGCAACAAGGTTACAATGCTATCTTGTCATGCAACAAGGTTACAATGCTATCATGTCATGCAACAAGGTTACAATGCTATCGTGTCATGCAACAAGGTTACAATGCTATCGTGTCATGCAACATCAAGGTTACAATGCTATCATGTCATGCAACAAGGTTACAATGCTATCATGTCATGCAACAAGGTTACAATGCTATCATGTCATGCAACAAGGTTACAATGCTATCATGTCATGCAACAAGGTTACAATGCTATCATGTCATGCAACAAGGTTACAATGCTATCTTGTCATACAATGCTAATGTCATACAACAAGGTTACAATGCTATCATGTCATGCAACAAGGTTGTCATGCATTGCAACAAGGTTACAATGCTATCTTGTCATGCATTAAGGTTACAATGTTATCGTTTAAAGCGAATGAGAAAAGGTACAATGCTATTGTGTCATGGGACAAGGTTACAATGCTATTGTGTCATGCAACACGGTTACAATGCTATCTTGTCATGTAACAAGGTACAATGCTATCGTGTCATGGGACAAGGTTACAATGCTATCGTGTCATGCATTAAGGTTACAATGCTATCGTGTCATGCAACAAGGTTACAATGCTATCGTGTCATGCAACAAGGTTACAATGCTAGCATGTCATGCAACAAGGTTTTCACTGCATCACATTCAATCCCACCCACCATCCCTATCACTGCATCACATTCAACTACACACACCATCCCTATCACTGCATCACATTCAACCACCCACACCCACACCCACACCCACACCCACACCCACACCCCCACCACCGCATCCCTATCACTGCATCACATTCAAAAAACACACACACACACACACACACACACATCACATTCAAATCTCTCACACACACACACACATCCCCATCACTGCATCACATTAAAACACACACACACAACACACACACACACACACACACACACACACACACACACACACACACAAACACCCATCACTGCATCACATTAAAAAACAACAACACACACACACACCTCCCCATCACTGCATCACATTCAACACACACACACACACACATCCCCACGCACACACACACATCCCCACGCACACACACACATCCCCATCACTGCATCACATTCAAACACATACACACACACATCCCCATCACATTCAACCCTTTCTCTCTCTTCTTTCCCCACACACACACATTCAACACACATCACCACATCACATTCAACCACACATTATTCATTGTCACCAGCATCACCATCAACCACATACTGATCTTTGTCAATGACTCAATAAGAGATATAGTCCTCTGTTTCAGGGTCGTCAGATTGAATATGTTCATCAAGATGACTCCAACAGACGCTGGTTTAATGAATTCAGATCCAAAGCCAACTCCATGCCCATTCCCCTTGAATCAGTTGATGGTAAGATCTGAATAGTATCAAAATGTCATAAAGCTGTCAGTTCAGGATGAGGTTGTTGTCAAAATAGAAGCCAAATATCAGATCCTTGTCGTGAAATAGATCACCAATGAAATAATAATAACTTCAATCAATATTTGGTTAATCTTGACCTTCATAGTGACACCTGCCTTTGACTTTTTGAAGGTCTGTAGTCCATTCATATGTATGATCCACTCCAATCTCTTCCAAGTAACTGCAGTACAAGTGTGACATGAATTGCCTGAAGGTTATAGTGAGCCTTTCTGTCTGTGTCTGCAACTGACCTCATCATCCATACATCTCCACCTGGCTGGAAGCTGCCAGCAGTGACGTCTTCAGACGTTCCTTGCACCAGATGCTCTATGTTAAACTACTTTAAATCTCTTTCCTTAATTGTGAAAAGCACAACATGTGCTCACCACACTGGTAAATGCATATGACCTTTGTCCTTTAGAATGAGTGAGTGTCCACCCACTCACTCACTGTAATGTCCTTGTAGCCAACAGATACTCAGCCATGTTGATACCGGCAGCCCCAGGTGCTCTCCATGACTTGTTCTCCAGTAAAGACCTAGCTCAGATTGTCGTCCATTTTGTCAAAGAAAAAAGTAAGTGGTGTGTATAGTGTGCTGGGTATCAAATACTGAAATAGTCACTGATACACTGATATTGCAAAAATGTTTTTGCTACATTATTCTGATTATGAATATGTATATTATGTAATAAAAAAGGTATATATCTTGATGTTGAAAGGAGGAAGTGTCTGTTGAAATTGTCCTGTACATGTTTACAGACTATGAAGAACTCTGTATGTAAGTATTCAGTCATTATTGACTCACTAGGGGTCAAGGCACTGTCCACAGTGGACAACTGTGTCAGCTATATTTGCCAGAGGTTGATTGCCATGATGTACCAGAAGTAATGTCCTAATCATGATTCCTGGCTGAAACATACCTGGTTCCACAAAAGACCGATACACATCAGGCTTTGCTCCCACATTAAGGTGACACACTCACAGTCTATGATGAAGGTGTTCTGCCTCTACAGCCCCCCTGTTGTGTTGTAGAAGCTACCACTCTGTGAACACACTCACAGTCTATGATGAAGGTGTTCTGCCTCTACAGCCCTCATGTTGTGTTGTAGAAGCTACCACTCTGTGAACTCACTCACAGTCCTGTGAAGGTGTTCTGCCTCTACAGCCCCCTGTTGTGTTGTAGAAGCTACCACTCTGTGAACACACTCACAGTCTATGATGAAGGTGTTCTGCCTCTACAGCCCCCTGTTGTGTTGTAGAAGCTACCACTCTGTGAACTCACTCACAGTCTATGATGAAGGTGTTCTGCCTCTACAGCCCCCTGTTGTGTTGTAGAAGCTACCACTCTGTGAACTCACTCACAGTCTATGATGAAGGTGTTCTGCCTCTACAGCCCCCCTGTTGTGTTGTAGAAGCTATCACTCTGTGAACTCACTCACAGTCTATGATGAAGGTGTTTTACATGTACAGCCTCCTGTATTGTTGTAGAAGCTATCTGTGCTGTTGGGGACGGAGTGGCAGGTCTGTGTGGTGCCAGGCTCCAAAACAACAAGGAATGGTGCTTCCAAGACTACAGCCTCACAGCGGTGAGTGGATTCCAACTCCTCCATTTAAGTCATTCAACATGGAAGACAATACTGCAGTTTTTCAATGCCTCCATTGTTGGATTAGAGTTGTCTTGAAAAAATAGAAGTAATAGAAATAGAAATTTTGTGACAATATCAGTTGTAGTTATATTCTTGACAGGAGAATATATTCTTAAATTGAAACGGAATGTAAAGGGAAGGACAACATTATTATACAATATTATTATTAAAGTTGTTAAAGTTTTAAAGAACCATTCAAATGTGGTTTCCTTTTTCCAAATTGTTAGTGATTACTCAACTTTCCATATATGGAATCAAAATAGTGGCTGCCTTGATGTGTTGACTGATGAAGCTGTTTGTCCAGGCCCAGTTGGGTGTCCTGATGACAACTTAAACGTACATAAGAAGTCCCCAATGAAAGTCCACTACCTGTTTATCCAGGCCCAGTTGGGTGTCCTGATGACAACTTAAACGTACATAAGAAGTCCCCAATGAAAGTCCACTACCTGTTTATCCAGGCCCAGTTGGGTGTCCTGATGACAACTTAAACGTACATAAGAAGTCCCCAATGAAAGTCCACTACCTGTTTGTCCAGGCCCTGTTGGGTGTCCTGATGACAACTTAAACGTACATAACTAGTCCCCAATGAAAGTCCACTACCTGTTTGTCCAGGCCCTGTTGGGTGTCCTGATGACAACTTAAACGTACATAACTAGTCCCCAATGAAAGTCCACTACCTGTTTGTCCAGGCCCTGTTGGGTGTCCTGATGACAACTTAAACGTACATAACTAGTCCCCAATGAAAGTCCACTACCTGTTTATCCAGGCCCTGTTGGGTGTCCTGATGACAACTTAAACGTACATAACTAGTCCCCAATGAAAGTCCACTACCTGTTTATCCAGGCCCTGTTGGGTGTCCTGATGACAACTTAAACGTACATAACTAGTCCCCAATGAAAGTCCACTACCTGTTTATCCAGGCCCAGTTGGGTGTGTTGATGACAACTTAAACGTACATAAGTAGTCCCCAATGAAAGTGCACTACCTGTTTATCCAGGCCCTGTTGGGTGTCCTGATGACAACTTAAACGTACATAACTAGTCCCCAATGAAAGTCCAGTACCTGTTTATCCAGGCCCTGTTGGGTGTGTTGATGACAACTTAAACGTACATAAGTAGTCCACAATGAAAGTCCACTACCTGTTTATCCAGGCCCAGTTGGGTGTCCTGATGACAACTTAAACGTACATAAGAAGTCCCCAATGAAAGTCCACTACCTGTTTATCCAGGCCCTATTGGGTGTCCTGATGACAACTTAAACGTACATAACTAGTCCCCAATGAAAGTCCACTACCTGTTTATCCAGGCCCAGTTGGGTGTGTTGATGACAACTTAAACGTACATAAGTAGTCCCCAATGAAAGTGCACTACCTGTTTATCCAGGCCCTGTTGGGTGTCCTGATGACAACTTAAACGTACATAACTAGTCCCCAATGAAAGTCCAGTACCTGTTTATCCAGGCCCTGTTGGGTGTGTTGATGACAACTTAAACGTACATAAGTAGTCCACAATGAAAGTCCACTACCTGTTTATCCAGGCCCAGTTGGGTGTCCTGATGACAACTTAAACGTACATAAGAAGTCCCCAATGAAAGTCCACTACCTGTTTATCCAGGCCCAGTTGGGTGTCCTGATGACAACTTAAGCGTACATAACTAGTCCCCAATGAAAGTCCACTACCTGTTTATCCAGGCCCAGTTGGGTGTCCTGATGACAACTTAAACGTACATAAGTAGTCCCCAATGAAAGTGCACTACCTGTTTATCCAGGCCCTGTTGGGTGTCCTGATGACAACTTAAACGTACATAACTAGTCCCCAATGAAAGTCCAGTACCTGTTTATCCAGGCCCAGTTGGGTGTGTTGATGACAACTTAAACGTACATAAGTAGTCCACAATGAAAGTCCACTACCTGTTTATCCAGGCCCAGTTGGGAGTCCTGATGACAACTTAAACGTACATAAGTAGTCCCCAATGAAAGTGCACTACCTGTTTATCCAGGCCCAGTTGGGTGTCTTGATGACAACTTAAACGTACATAACTAGTCCCCAATGAAAGTCCAGTACCTGTTTATCCAGGCCCAGTTGGGTGTCCTGATGACAACTTAAACATACATAAGTAGTCCCCAATGAAAGTCCACTACCTGTTTATCCAGGCCCAGTTGGGTGTCCTGATGACAACTTAAACATACATAAGAAGTCCCCAATGAAAGTCCACTACCTGTTTATCCAGGCCCAGTTGGGTGTCCTGATGACAGCTTAAACATACATAAGTAGTCCCCAATGAAAGTCCACTACCTGTTTATCCAGGCCCAGTTGGGTGTCCTGATGACAACTTAAACATACATAAGAAGTCCCCAATGAAAGTCCACTACCTGTTTATCCAGGCCCAGTTGGGTGTCCTGATGACAACTTAAACATACAGTCCCCAATGAAAGTCCACTACCTGTTTATCCAGGCCCAGTTGGGTGTCCTGATGACAGCTTAAACATACATAAGAAGTCCCCAATGAAAGTCCACTACCTGTTTATCCAGGCCCAGTTGGGTGTCCTGATGACAGCTTAAACATACATAAGTAGTCCCCAATGAAAGTCCACTACCTGTTTATCCAGGCCCAGTTGGGTGTCCTGATGACAACTTAAACATACATAAGTAGTCCCCAATGAAAGTCCACTACCTGTTTATCCAGGCCCAGTTGGGTGTCCTGATGACAACTTAAACATACATAAGAAGTCCCCAATGAAAGTCCACTACCTGTTTATCCAGGCCCTGTTGGGTGTCCTGATGACAGCTTAAACATACATAAGTAGTCCCCAATGAAAGTCCACTACCTGTTTATCCAGGCCCAGTTGGGTGTCCTGATGACAACTTAAACATACATAAGTAGTCCCCAATGAAAGTCCACTACCTGTTTATCCAGGCCCTGTTGGGTGTCCTGATGACAACTTAAACATACATAAGTAGTCCCCAATGAAAGTCCACTACCTGTTTATCCAGGCCCAGTTGGGTGTGTTGATGACAACTTAAACGTACATAAGTAGTCCCCAATGAAAGTCCACTACCTGTTTATCCAGGCCCAGTTGGGTGTCCTGATGACAACTTAAACATACATAAGTAGTCCCCAATGAAAGTGCACTACCTGTTTATCCAGGCCCAGTTGGGTGTCTTGATGACAACTTAAACGTACATAACTAGTCCCCAATGAAAGTCCAGTACCTGTTTATCCAGGCCCAGTTGGGTGTCCTGATGACAACTTAAACATACATAAGTAGTCCCCAATGAAAGTCCACTACCTGTTTATCCAGGCCCAGTTGGGTGTCCTGATGACAACTTAAACATACATAAGAAGTCCCCAATGAAAGTCCACTACCTGTTTATCCAGGCCCAGTTGGGTGTCCTGATGACAGCTTAAACATACATAAGTAGTCCCCAATGAAAGTCCACTACCTGTTTATCCAGGCCCAGTTGGGTGTCCTGATGACAACTTAAACATACATAAGAAGTCCCCAATGAAAGTCCACTACCTGTTTATCCAGGCCCAGTTGGGTGTCCTGATGACAACCTTAAACAAACATACATAAGTAGTCCACAATGAAAGTCCACTACCTGTTTATCCAGGCCCAGTTGGGTGTCCTGATGACAACTTAAACATACATAAGAAGTCCCCAATGAAAGTCCACTACCTGTTTATCCAGGCCCAGTTGGGTGTCCTGATGACAGCTTAAACATACATAAGTAGTCCCCAATGAAAGTCCACTACCTGTTTATCCAGGCCCATTTGGGTGTCCTGATGACAACTTAAACATACATAAGTAGTCCCCAATGAAAGTCCACTACCTGTTTATCCAGGCCCAGTTGGGTGTCCTGATGATAACTGAAACATACATAAGAAGTCCCCAATGAAAGTCCACTACCTGTTTATCCAGGCCCAGTTGGGTGTCCTGATGACAGCTTAAACATACATAAGAAGTCCCCAATGAAAGTCCACTACCTGTTTATCCAGGCCCAGTTGGGTGTCCTGATGACAGCTTAAACATACATAAGTAGTCCCCAATGAAAGTCCACTACCTGTTTATCCAGGCCCAGTTGGGTGTCCTGATGACAACTTAAACATACATAAGAAGTCCCCAATGAAAGTCCACTACCTGTTTATCCAGGCCCAGTTGGGTGTCCTGATGACAGCTTAAACATACATAAGTAGTCCCCAATGAAAGTCCACTACCTGTTTATCCAGGCCCAGTTGGGTGTCCTGATGACAACTTAAACATACATAAGAAGTCCCCAATGAAAGTCCACTACCTGTTTATCCAGGCCCAGTTGGGTGTCCTGATGACAGCTTAAACATACATAAGTAGTCCCCAATGAAAGTCCACTACCTGTTTATCCAGGCCCAGTTGGGTGTCCTGATGACAACTTAAACATACATAAGAAGTCCCCAATGAAAGTCCACTACCTGTTTATCCAGGCCCAGTTGGGTGTCCTGATGACAGCTTAAACATACATAAGTAGTCCCCAATGAAAGTCCACTACCTGTTTATCCAGGCCCATTTGGGTGTCCTGATGACAACTTAAACATACATAAGTAGTCCCCAATGAAAGTCCACTACCTGTTTATCCAGGCCCTGTTGGGTGTCCTGATGACAACTTAAACGTACATAACTAGTCCCCAATGAAAGTCCACTACCTGTTTATCCAGGCCCTGTTGGGTGTCCTGATGACAACTTAAACGTAAACTAGTCCCAATGAAAGTCCACTACCTGTTTATCCAGGCCCAGTTGGGTGTGTTGATGACAACTTAAACGTACATAAGTAGTCCCCAATGAAAGTGCACTACCTGTTTATCCAGGCCCTGTTGGGTGTCCTGATGACAACTTAAACGTACATAACTTGTCCCCAATGAAAGTCCAGTACCTGTTTATCCAGGCCCTGTTGGGTGTGTTGATG